AATCATCTTGTCAGTTAGGAGCTGATCTTTTGTCCTTCTGCTGTTTGGGCAGTTTCCTTTCTGCTCAGATGGAAAGAGCTTGTTTTCAGCTAGTGCTGTTGGACTATATCAGCTACCACATCAGTTAGCAATTTGAAAGTTATTATTATTTGTTGTATGAGCCCTTGTGGTTCATTGTTCAGTATGTTGTGGGAAGCCAGAAAATAGGGTTAATTCAATCAATTAATGATGCTTTAGTATGTTGTGTGAACACTGCCCATGAGTTTCAAAAGTGAAGATACAATTCCTATATAGGATGTCAACAAATTTAGCAATGTTTTCCAATTTTTTAATTGAGTAACATATATATTACAGAAATAAGTAAATAAATCACATTTATATGTTATGATTTTTCCTCTCCCTTTCTTTTTCTACAGAAAATTAAAAATGCCTCATTTGATGACTGGAAGAACATCAGAGGGCCCCGTCCATGGGAAGAGACTGGGTCTAACCAAGAGAAGCAGCGGTAGCAATAAAGTTTTGCCTAAAAGCCAGCCTTACTAATTAACTAGTTGTGCCCTTGAACTGTTTTTTCCCCCTTAAGATGAATAAAAAGGGTGAATTAATAGAATCAACTACTAAGAATATAGCTGTTTTTGTCATGTAAGCAGAAGCCTTATAAATAAATATTTTGAACTTTGCAGTGATAATTGATAATGCTACATGCAGCATTAGTAAAATAAATTTAGCTAAGAACATGAGTTTGTATTGGTTTCGTCTTAATCAGTTGAAGGTCAAAATATTGTCATAAAGGTAGGTTGAGTTCTAGTAATTTAGTTTCAGAAACTTACCTTTTTAATAGATCTGTGTTAATAGGATAAAATTCTGTTCCATACATATCGATTTACATTTGCAATTTTTCCTAACATAAAGAGTTTTTATATGCAACTTTATTTTAAACCATAATTAAAATATGGTTTCTTGGGGAATTTACATTAGCATAATTTTTCCTGACATAGTTTGTTCATGAGAATCTCTAAAGATAAATTACGTGCTGCTCAATTTCTGTTGTCCTGTTGTTCATCTGTTCTAAAGGTGAGAAGCATTTCATGGGCAAATCCAGTTCTAATAGCTGTCCAAAGCATGTCCTAAGAATTGACATCAACTTTATGGCACATAGTCAAAATAATTGCTAACCATCATCACTCCCTTATACACATTTTTGCATGTTCTCATCAGGGCCAGTTAAGGGCTAAGTATATCTTTAATTTTTAATTCAGGTTGTGTGGATATTCCATTTTGAATGCATATATTTATATTATATTTTGGTGCCTTCGACACCATAAAATTCTTGACTCCTGGCGACTGTCTGGACAAGACCCTGCAGTTTTCTTGGCAAGATTTCAATTAATATAATATAATATAATATAATATAATATAATATAATATAATATAAATATAATTTCTATTAAAGATTTTTTAAAAGGAAGATAAAAACTAATACAAACTAATATAAAGTAAGAAAAAGAAAGAAATCAGATAGAAAGCTAAACGTGCAAGAAAGAAAGAAAATAATTTAAAAAACGAAAAAGAAAAAAGATACAAAGAAGTAGCCCCCAATCTTCTTTACAGTAGTTATAAGTACAATTATAAATTTACCTCTTACTCTGTGGTTACAACATAACTCTCTTCTTTCTATAATCTAGCCTGTCTAATCATCAAAATCATAAATCATAAGTTCATTTTTTTCTGTCATGCAAAAAGTCTGTAAGGGGCTTCCAGTCAGCAATAAATGTAGATATTATGTTTTCTCTGATCAAAGAAGTCAATGTAGCCATCTCAGCAAGTTCCATCATCTTCACCAACCATTCCTCCATTGTGGGTAATGTTGAATCTTTCCATCTTCGTGCATATAATAATCTTGCTGCAGTTATCATGTACAAAAACAAAGTTCCATAACGTTTTTCAAACTGTCCATCAATCCCAAAAGAAAAACCTCTGATCTTAATTGTATATTAATCTTTAAAATCCTCTAAATCAGTGTATGTATTTGAATCCAGAATTTTCTAGCTTTTTTACATGTCCACCAAACATGACAAAATGTTTGGTGGACACGTAAAAAAGAAAATGTCCCTTCTTGTTCACATTTCCAACATAAATTTGAAGTGCCTTTATACATTCTAGACAATATACTAATGATACATCATTTTATAAACATTCTCTTTAAGATTATCATATAGTGTAAATTTCAATCCTTTCAGCCACATATTTTCCCATTCTTCCATCTGTATATTGTAACCAAAATTTTAGCCCACTTTATCATTTATTCTTTCACTTGTTCTTCTTCTGTTTCAAATTTCAGTAAAAGTTTATACATTTTAGCAATTACATGTTCATCA